ACAGCAGGAGGCTAAAAAAGCTCAACCCAATCCTGCTGCTTTGTACAGTATATTCCTACACTAAACACTGAGAAAAAGAGGCTCTCATCCACATCTTACTACAGCACTCTCCTGCTAAATGGATTGGCAGCACTTAACCTCGTCTCCCGAAAGATCTTTGTGAATTTTAAAATTTGCTTCAACCCTGAATTGCCTCCCCCCCTCCTCCGCCACCATCACATACACGGATGATGAGACAAGGACATACATACAGAGACATGGAGGCCTCTTCTCAAGGTTGCATTTGAAATTACCCATTGCCATCATCTTCCTCCCCCGAGACAAGAACAACAAGACTGCACAGTGGCAACACGATAGTCAGCTGTAATCATCTCTCATCCCATCCCTTGATCTATCTGCGTCCGTCCCTTCCTCCCTGCTTCCTTCCTTCCCTCCCTAATGACAAGACAGCATCCTCAAAGCAACAGGCCAAGCCAAAACAACTCCAAGCCAGCTTCTTTTTCACCTCTCTCTAGGGCTCATGACAATGTGTATTTTTCACAACTGAAACCACTTTAAACCGAGATTAAAACCCAGATAGTGGCAGAGACAGACACCATACTGGAATGTGGTTTTTGGAAAGTGCGATACGGTAAACATGCCAAGTGGGGGAGGACAGTCATTTTTATTTTAAAATCATCAATAGTGTCCATAAATCTGCCGAGGAATGACTCTAGGGATGGGCGTAAAAGGCAAACAGCCCTCTCCCACTAAAACACAGCGGGCAATCTTCCTGATGCTTTGCAGGGTTATTCACTGTGAACCACACACAAAAGCACAGTGGTCAACACAGGCTAAGACAACATGGTAAATCACAGCAAGCAAACACGCACAGGCATGAAAAAACCTCTAAAGTGTGCTTGTAAAGGAAAAAAAAAGGATAAGAGGGAAGGAAAGAGACACAGACAAAGCTAATCTGGAAAGATTCAGCTTTTGTTTATGTATGACTACCTGTTGTGTGTATGTGTGTGTGTGTGTAATCACAGCTTTGGTTGCAGCTCTTTTGAAGCTCTTGTGGGGATACGAGGATGAAAAAAGCAGAGGATAAACTTTTCCGTCTCCGCTGTGAACCACATCATTCTTGTTAACTGACTTCAAACCGGGATTAACCACGTGCACGCAACCTGACATCTGCAGAAGCCCAATTGCTGGTGCTCACCAGCCAGCATCAGTGTGCTATCAAACTGCTATGATTGACTTTAATGTGTTATTTACTGCAAATAGCAAACACAAGTATAGTGAAAGGCTAGTGAGCTCAAATGCCCTTCTCAAAGCTCAAAGATTACTAAATGGATTTCCTACCACAAGTCAACCCCCGTATTTTAACAGACTAATGTTTAACTGATGCCCAGACCACAAGAATGCATCCTGGCTGTGAACAGACTACAGCTTTGCACCTATAACACTGTCTCTCAATGGTGACATGGAAGCCACGTTGTGGCAGCTTGTTTGTACATGGCTTACTCCGTGTGACTTGTGGTAAGAGGGGGTTTTGAAAGCAAGAAAGGAAGCCCTTTTCCATAGAGTTTGAGGCGACGACAAACAAACATACACATTACAGTGCAAGCTCCAACGCGTCCAGAGGAATACCGCTCATTCCATCCTAGTGCTCTACTCCTCTACTCAGTCACTGTCACACACACATTCACAAATGAATCACCTCAAAAGCTACAGCCCCACCATTCCAAGGCCCACTCCCCCCAGAGGCCTAAATAACAAGGGGGCAAACGTGGACTTGTTCTTCCAACGCAGCCACTATCAATCTGTCACTCATTGCTATACGAGCTGAGGTTTCCAGTGTTGCGTAACACCACAATCCTGTAGTTAGGGGCCTCCATGTGCGGTTCATTATGTATGCGCCTGTGTGTTAAATTGTGGTTGTGTGTGTGCACCCTATGAATATTTTTGTAAAAAAAGTGTTAGCTTGCAAAAGACTAACACTGAGTGCCCCAGGATAGTTGTAAAAGAGGTCCCCTGGCTTTTATCTCCTCATGGCTAAATGGCTCTTTTTCTGGCCTAATACCATAATAATTACACATGGCTGCAGGGGGTGCACTTTTGATGCTGCGCTAGCAGGGGGGACAGAAATTAAAAGTGAGGAAATGACTGTGGGAATTAATGCGGCAATAGACAAAGAGACTGACGCTGCGTGTTAGACTTAAACACCTTGAACTCAGCTGATGCTTGTCACTACAATTCTTTCCACCTGTTCCTGCCCACTTTGGAGTCTCTACAGTTTAGCCCAGACTCATCTGACCATTTGACTCTCCTTTTGTCTCTTTACCTTAATGTCACTTTGTTTTTTTTATTCCCTAAAACCTCCAAAATCCAAGTTAAGGGAGAAACTAAGGCAACACTTGAGTGAGTGTGAAGTTATTGCTCCAAAAAAATACAACCTACCTACTTTGTGTAACTTTGTAACCTTGTAACTACCTCATGAGGGGAATGTTATTTTATTTTTTTCACCATCTGCTTATAAATTGTGCTTGTAATTGTGGAGAGACTTGCTATCACAAACTTTAGACACAAAATGAAGTTATATTTCAGGATGTTTCCACTGTTGGCGCCTCTGCTGTGATGGAAAAGGCAATGGCATCTCAGGAGCGTAGAGCAGGAGCCATTTACCAACATGTGAGCAGGGTCAAAGGGTCAGCGCAATCCAGGACACAGGCGTACCAAGCACCTAGGGGTGCCCGGATCTGTCATGCACCACATATCCATGTGCCACTACTACATACTTCGAAATATGTAGCTACACTTAGAGGAGACGGCACACATGTGGGTGTTACATGTCCCCTGGTTCAATTTAGTCCACTTCCACTGTCAACTGACATAGTTGGAAGTTGTGAGTGTGTGACCAGCAGTTGTGAGAATGTGGGTCTGTGTGACACAATCCCAATGAGACCCAACCAGAGCTGCTATTATTAGATAAAACTATGCTAGAGAGGAAGGAGGAGACTTCCTTTTTTTTTCTTCAATCAACATTTGTAGCACCAAATGGAAAATGACTTTCCTTCTCTCAGACTTCAGAGCAGCATAAGGGGTATGGGTGAGCTCAGCACCTGGAGCTGAGCCTTTAAATCAATGCACCACAGCTGTACAGAGGGATGTGTGATCTACACTGCATCTATCAATTACGGGACACTTTTTAGAAGGCACCTGTTAAAAGGCTCCATGAAGGGCAGACAGACAGCAAGGCGCAACAACTGTCTCTCAGGCCAGAGAGGAGGGAGGGAGGGAGGGGGCAGTTGGGGGCAGGAGATCTGAGTAATGACGAGGAGAAAAAAGCTTAACCAGGTAAACTTGGAGGTGGATGCTGATATATAGAAAGTTATATGTTCGTGTACAGAAATTGCAACAAACTGAAGGCATAAATCGATGAGAGATATACAATGATGCAGTGAAAGTGAAATAAAAGAGACAGAGACCATAGAGAACGGGAAGTTGCCCAGCAGCACAGCCCCGCCCTTCAGCTCATCTTTCAAACCACCATAATCCTGCTTACACAGTCAAGATATTACAAATAACTTGCCCACAAATCATTCTAGCAAATTTGACACAAACACAGTCACAGGATCCACAGAAGGCTGTAAGATATATTTCCAAGTCAAGCATCCGAGAAACACAAACAATAAACAAGTAATCGATTATTCCGTATTTAAGGACGTTAACTGAAATATTACAGTGGCACTAAACAAGGTTTTAAAACACCATTAAGTGCAGTAGAACCATAGCCTCATGATGCTGCAAATACCTATGGGACAGTTAGAGGGATAGCATGGGTAATAAATCTCCATGGTAAATGTATGATGTCAATACTGAACTTGGTTTTTGGCAAAAACCTAATCAAAAAGTTTTCTTTGGAGAAGATTATGTAAGGGCAAAGTCAAGTTGGTTTTAAATTGGCTAAGTCTCTCTGGCAGCACCCAGGGGTGCTGAGGGTGAAGCGCACTGCCAGCAAAGGAGACGCAAATCCCGCAGATCAGACATCAAAGCGCTGGAAACTGCACCCTGCAGCCAGACATAGCAACATGAATGAGACTGAACGAGACGAGCAACATGCTCTTCAAAATAAAAGCTTCATATTTCTCACTGTTAGGGATTATTTACTGACGCCCAAAACATTTTAAAAGCTTCTTTTTTAAAAATGTATGATTGAAACTGGACTTTATCTACAGCTGAATATTACATTTGTGTTTTATTTTGACAGTCCCGTATGTTTTATTCTGGCTGCATCATAGAGGTAGGCTGCTGTTTGGTATTGGGCTATATATCCAGAGAGTGCCGCAGTCCCTGTGCGCTAGTGCACTCAAGTGCGGAGCTGAGACTTGCCGCAGAAATACAAAGAGCCACCATTAAGCCTTAAAACAACCCGACAGTGTATAAAACGTACGGGAGAGACGTGCAACCTGCTACTTCTGAGTGTTTTTCTTTTTTTCTCTTTCTTTTCTTTTTTTTTTT